TCTTCACTTATCAGCATTGTGTGTCATTTAATCACGGGTACCCAAACGTTTGCAGACAACTGCAACCTCATTAAATATTAGCTCTTTGGGAAAAAAAGAATCTCAGTGAGTATGGAAATCCCTAATTGACGCGCATTCCAGGAAGATAGCATATTGTTATTGGCTCAGCAATGCCAAGGTGAATCACAGCACGATGGTCCATGGTCAGCCTGTTCTTGCTTTTTATAAAACCTTCTGAAGAATGAAAGTTTTCCTAACTGCTGGAAAAGGAGGGCGACGCTGGTTCCCGTCACTGGCAGGCTGTCGCACAGAGGCGTCTGGATCAGCTGGCGGTCTCCGGCACCCAACGAAAAGAGTTTCTGCAAAGAAAAATCGGTAAAGTTTAATGAACTTAAAGGATATTTATCATCTTTCCTGTGTGATATCAAATATCTACTCAGGATAAAATATTATCAGTAAGGCCTCATTCACACACAACTCAAGCAAAATTGTATATTGCGTCTATGCGCGTGTATATACGAGCGTCTATGCATGCACTATTTGCAATCCCAGAATGCATCACTCGTAATGGAATTTGTAATGTGCTGCGCGTGTATATGCGCGTAACCACGCGTATGTGCGCGTAAATACGCAGCAATCCGCTGCCCGGAGGCATCTCTGTTCCATTCTGTTTTTGCGCATATATACGCTACGCAAATATACGGCTCTATACGCGCCTATGTGTATGGAGCCATTTATTTGCATGTGTTGCATATGGAACAAAACACGCGCATATATGCGCGGCAGTGTGAATGAGGCCTAAGCTTTCATGTCACGTTAAAGAGGAACTGAACTCTGGAAGCTGCACCCCAAAAAAAAGACAGGTAGCGGGCAAAGGAATAGTCGCTGGTATTGCCTGCGCGCTCTGTAGCTGATCTATTCCCCATTACTGACTTACCATACCTTGATCTGCACAGAGTCTCCCTGTGGGGGTGGCCATCTTGGCCAAGGCAGGGTTTTGCATTCTCATGATTATTTTTGCTCTTAAAGCAAACATGCGCCTTGCTAATTCAGGACAAAGGGTGTGGACAAGCATGTGACAAGGCTGGTCCAAATAGTTCCGGCAAAGGGGAAGCCATCGCTCTGTGGCAGCTAACACTTCGGTGACTTGTAGTTTACACAGGGCATTGCTTTCACTACCAGCGGCCGAGTGATAGGAAGGTAAATATCTGCATCTGCAGAGGTCTGCATTACAGTGAACCTATGGCGACAAAAATCATATGGAAGAGCCTTTTCTTTTATAGTAATGCTCACATACTGATTCTTCCCCTTTATATCGTATCCCAGGAGCAATACAATTCATATAATGAAACGTTTCCTGCGGTTGCCAACTCAGCCCACCCTTTCGCCATCTGCAGCTCACTACTGGCCCATCGCTGTGATGGGCAGCCTCACCAACCCGCAGCGAAGTGCTGAAGGGTGGGCGGCACAGCTAGTGACCAGGATGCTGGATCCACCTCCGAGACACTTTACAGTAAGTGTAGTTCCACAGCGACTGGTGCCTCTCGTTTCTGGAGCATAAGAAACAACATCTGTGCTCCAATAATACCATCCATCGGCCAATATAACTACGAAACCTGAATATGTGAGACTGTTTAATCGAGAAAGCAGAAAAGGACAGTAAATCTGAATGTTAGCGAAGTACGAGTCCAATGTATGGGATCATTACTCACGGTGTACAGTTATTACACACCTCGCTGCGCTTTATTATACCCAGCAGAACAGCAGGAAGGAGAACCACGTGAGCACAAGACTCGCTCACAGTAATAATAAACAACTTCGCGCCTCTTCGCCCCATCTAGACTACGAGTCCAGAATGAATGATGAACGTCGTTTACAGCCAAACAGCTGAAGACACAAGTCAAACACGCTCATAGGAACCGTTTTATCTGCCAATCATTCCTAACGTAATCGGTGTTAAAGGGAACCTGCAATGCGAGGGGCTGACCTCCTCCAGCACAATGTCACTTGCACTGGCTTGTTCCTGGCTTTGATTCTTTCTGAGCTACTGATCTGGAACAAGCATGCAGCAATCAAAGTCAGTGACCCAGTGAGTACTGAAGACACTATATCCACATAACAGGCAGGTACTGGCATTTTAAAGTAGAACTATGACCTATTAAAAAAATATGGCGTTGCAGCAGTTATTTAGAAGTGCATCTGAACTTAGTTTTCTCTTATTCCCCTTTGCAAAGTCCCACAAATACTTGTTGGCCCTGCCAGTAAGGTTCTCCTAATGCAGCTTTCTGCGATGGGGTGGTAACAATGCTGCACTGCACCTGCATTCAGCACAGAGTTGCCACTCTTATTGCAGGGGGTGTGACTATCAGCAGTGTCAGTGATAATATACAAGCCTGTAGCTTGTGAATGTGCACAACTAGTCCAGCTCACTGCTTTCTGGATTGACAGCTCTGCCTCTGCTGCTAAAACCCTCCACTGTGAGCTGCAGTGTCTGGGAGGGGGAGCGTATGAGACACAAATGAAGGAGGATTGTGCATAGTCAGGGGAGGTAAAGGATGTCTTTTGTTTAATTTACGAGGCTTATGCATCATAGTAACTGGATTTGGTACTTGTATTAGCTTCCATGCAGGAGCCTTTAGTTGTATGTAGAAAGAGATTAAATGTCCTACTTACTCGTCAGTGGCGGGCAGACCAGCACTGCATAGAACAGTGCCCACATTGTGACATGACTGTTACTCTATGCAGGATTCTAGAGTGAGTCCAGGCTGTGTGATAATGCCAGCCCAGAGGATGTGTCCATGTCGGGGGCTCATATTAAGTTTTTGAATGTTGCAGACCGTCATTCAATCCAAAAATGGAGCAGCAACCAGCAGCAGAGGACATCACCTTAACAAGGACAGGTATAGCAACACCAACAATGAGGCTCAGTCCTGCTCCAACACTAAGGAGGCTCAGTCCTGCTCCAACACTAAGGAGGCTCAGTCCTGCTCCAACACAAGGGAGGCTCAGTCCTTCTCCAACACTAAGAAGGAGGCTCAGTCCTGCTCCAACACTAAGAAGACCTCAGTCCTGCCCCAAAACTAAGAAGGAGGCTCAGTCCTGCCTCAACACCAAGACCTCAGTCCTGCCCCAACACTATGAAGGAGGTTCAGTCCTGCACCAATACCAAGAAGGAGGCAGAGGAGCCTTGACTTAACACCAACAAGGCTTCTTAGATCTAGCTAATCAATGTAATGAGAGAGGCCCTGATTACTGCAGTGGAGCATCTAAATTACTGAATGTGGAAGGAGAACAGTGAGATAGGAGCAGAGAGAACCAGAATCCCTCAAGGTCAATACTGACAGACCAGCAGAAGCTAGAAAATTGAGGATGACACAGCAAGTAAATGAGAGGATATTAGATTACAGCCCAATACACAGGGACATGATCTTCTCATCCAGCTCAGGCGGTTATAACCACTAATCAAATTCAAAAGAAACTTTATTGGCCCTCATACAGGTTCGCACTTCAACAAGTACATATTTATGGGCTGTGAAATACTGCTGGCAGAGTATGCAGTACATCCACGTGTACAGTAATACACAGCAACCCTGATCCAGAGGATGACTCTGCTCTAACTGGAAGGCAGTATACCGCTTTAAAATGGGAATTGAGAAAATTACTAAATACAACCAGTTAACACCCTTCTGTCCATTGCAGGCAATGGCAGAAAAGTGACTAAACTATTAAGATCTTTGAAGTACCTGTCCTCCCCAACTAACCCAAACTTTGTCCATAGTAGGGAAAGTAAAAGGTACACTTCACAGCAAGCACAGGAGTCATATTATATGTACCATCCTTGCGCTCCCACAACACCCCAATCCTCTGTAAAGCCATACCGTCCTACAGAGGGCTTTACAAACTTCCCCCATGCCCACTCCTCGTGATAGTGGTTTGTCCTCAAGTGACGGCACCGGGCCCAGCCACTGGTCACCTAAATACAAAGTATTGTACTGTGGGAGGCTGAATGGTGTATCATTTCGTCCTTCATACTCAGAGATATTGGTGCGTGGTAAAGGTAAGTACAGCCCCCACTATAAAGTGACCCTGTTACTTTGCAGAACACAGGTTCACCTTAAAAACTCAGCACTTCCAACTAAAAAGGTCCCCCTCCCACCAAAAAGCTGGCACTCTGGGAATTAAAATTCCTCACAATTTGCTCAGCTATGCTCTTACCCAACCAAAGATAAAGAGCCCCAATCTACAGTAAAATGTTTTTACAGTTCCTAATAAAAGAGTGGGGAAAAAAATAATAAAAGGATAATAATAAATCAGGAAAAATGTTAAATAAAAAGAAAACAAGATCAAAGAAGAGCATTATAACTGAGAGTTGAGGATTCAGGTACCTTAAAGTTTGATAGTCTATGTTTCAAAAAAAAAAATCATAAATGTACCCACTTTAATGAAAGAAAAAAATGTGCATTTATTAATTGTTGGCATTTGTGCATTTGAGCCTGCAAAGCATTGCAACCGCAATCAATGTATG